TATGCAGCTTTGCAAAATTTGGCACGGCTACGCTGCGCGGTTCGGAAACCATCCCGGAAAAACCGTCGGGGTGTCGATTGCCCCCCACCCTAGTGCGTTTTAAACGCCCGCTTTGATTTAGTCCATCTGGAAAATAAAGGTTGTGGCGCCACGATTATCCAAAATCCAAAATTTTTAGTAGCTTCTGGAAATCTTCGGCATGTGTTTCGAGACCGAAAAGGTGTCCTCAGCGTTTTCGGTTTCTGAGAAGCAGCGTTTTTAGGAGCACTGCACGGCTATCTACGACCGGCACGGGCGACGGGAGGCAATAGACGTTTCTCAGACCACGCGCAGCAAGCCGACACCGCTACATTAACGGAGTCACGCACCTAAAACATATGTTTGAAACACATAAAACTATGCACCATTGCACTCAGAAATAAACATGAGGTTAGCCGGCGTATATTCTAATGTCGCTACAATGCATAGTTCTGTACATATGAACATGTAAAGACGAAGTAGTTAGAATGTCAGGAAGAGTTGACGTGGAAAATTGACCTAATGGCTGAATGGCGAAATTATTGGTCATGCAATATAACCTTATTACCAATCGCTAGATCTTGCTCAGAATAAGCCACATATTTTCTGCTGGGCTCTATCTTATATAAGATTGCCGTTTCTTGGAAACGGCAGTCTTATTTCGTCGCTCTCCACACGTTTAAATCATCCCAAACATCATCTGCTTTTTGTCTTCATTGGCGTGCTGTGAAATCATCCGAAAGTAACGTATAATGCGTCTGTTTTGCTGGCGGCAACCTGATCTAGAATCCGTTACGTAACGTATGCCACCAAATTCCATCACGTTGCAAAGCTTGCTGGCTGCGCTTTTCGCTGCACACGCCTGCGTGCCGAAAAGCCGGGCCTAATAGTCTTGAAATCCACTTAGCTCGGAAAATCATGTTTACGGATCCATTCAGATCACTTCTGCTGCTTTCTCCACGCCAGTTGAGCACGAATTGCGTCAGATATGAGGGCGGCATCGTCACCAATGCAAATTCAATTATTCATATGCAATCACGGTCAGCACCGGCGAGAACAAACAAGGAAACTGATAAAGTTCATAGAAGATAAACACCGAAGTCTGGGCATTTACCAAACTCTGCTGATGTATTGGATAGGCGACTGAAGTGCAGGCGCAACGAAGCTGCTTAAGCTCGTAAGTCGATGTCGCAGTATATCTTATTTCGCCTTGGGCGGACCTGAAAAACAAGCTGAAGATGGAGGATGGTGGCCTGTTTTGAAAACCACCCCTACATTTTTAGTAAAGAACCGTGATCCCCCATTGACTATCATGATCCCGATGTGATCAATGGTATGTTTAATGGAAACCCATCGATATTCCAATAGCACGTGAGTAATTGCACAGTAAGTACACAGTGATGAACACCCATGATACCAAGAATTGCTCATTGAAAGAACCCAGCTTCTCGACCAGGTGACATCGCTCAAAGTCATCACCGCTGTTGGTGATGGTTTCAAAGTTGGCCTGGTCGAGAAGCTGAGTTGTTTCAGTATGCAGCTTATTATATGCTGTAAGCTGATTAGTGCTGGCCCACACGGAAGGGCGTCAACAGCAGCGCCACCCAGTGGAGCGTTTTTCGTACCATCCCAAAGGCTTTACGTGTTTGCACCGGTTTCCCCCAGAAAATCAATAAATGCGTCGCTAACTGCCGACACACGCTTTCGGTATAATGCAGCACTAACTTTCATGACGGTCTCTTGCGACAGCTCTGTGCATAACAGCAAGTGTTGCAGGCAGTGGTGAGAGGAGGGCGGCATATGGGACACATACCCTTCCCTTTGGTCTTCTCCATGGACCCCGGTCTGTGGAACGAGCCTCCAGATGACAGTCATAGGACATAAAGGCCCGAAGGGCAGACTGTAGGTCACATAAAGGATCTAGGCTTGTACGGCCGCGACCTAAAATATCAGAGGGCCTCCTGCACCGATTGAGTACCCCTGAGACAATGGGGACGTCTAGGTCGGCCAGAGACCACCAGCATCGAACAGTCGGCTCTGTGCAGGTCTGAGCCCTGGCGGCCAATTTCCCAAGCAGGAGCAAGGTGGAGCCCATGATTTGCATGGATCCAGGTACCTGAAACAGCGATTGGGCCCCTGTGCCCGTTTGGGCCCCGCAGTGCCTAACAGGGGGTAACGTGTCAAGAATTATCCCTGAGTCTGTCACGGGTTTTGTTTTAGGAGGCCCGAAAAGGGGCCGAAGGACCCCCGGGACCAATTGGCAGGCTGAAGCGGCCGGAGGGCCCGAAGGACTGACCGCATGTCACAATAGGGACGCCCTCTGTCACTAGGGCTGTGACCTCAAATGTCAGTCAGAGTGCCTCTTGCCTCGATTGAGGGACCCGTGGGACAGTGCTGACGTCCATGTCGGCCAGAGACCAAATGCCTAACAAACGGCTCCGTGTCGGTCTGAGCCCTGGGGCTCCAACTTCCAAGCACGAGCAAGGCGGGGCCACGATTCGCAGCGTTTGGGGCCCCTGAAACAATGAGGGTGTCGGTCAGGGGCAAAGAGTGCCTAACAAGGAAAGGGGTCCTGTGTCGGCAAGTGGCCCCGAGCCGCGAGAAGCCGTATTTTAGGGGTCGAAGAGGGCCGGAAGGGTCTTTTGATACCAAAGAACAAGGGCCCGATTGAAAGTCTGATGGGCCCAAACAGCTGACTGTACGTCACAATGTGGACCCCCACCCGAAGGGCTGTGATCACAGATGTCAGTTAGACGGCCTCTTGCACCAGTAGGAGACCCCTTAGCCAGTTCGTTCTACTGGTGCCGATTGGATTCCAAATTTCAGAATTTCAAGAGTTTCTACAGTCCAATTTGGAAATTGGACGGAGGAAGGTAATATTTTTTTGGAATTTTTGGGGTAGCCGATGTTATTTTGTTGTATGGTAAATGGCATGCGTTCCAACTTATTCAGCTGTAATCGGTAATGTTAATGCTAATGATCCCCATGCGACTAGTCGTGATTTGTCGGTCTTAATCTGCCACGGTCCGGTGCCTAACGGCTCCGACGCTCGACAAACTTTCCCCGTTCGACCAATTAGAATATCGTCATTCACGCGCCAGACTGCACGCGCCTGACGCCAGGCAGATTGGCGCGAATGAAAGTGGCGCAGGGATCTATTGAACCTTACAGAGATCTGCTAAGCTAAACTGGAGTCCCTTTGCGAATTATGGCACCTTTTGCAGCGATAAAGAATTTTTGCGCTGACGAAGGCTTTTGCGTCGATCCGGGGCTTAATTCCCGGGTCACTTTACTAACTCCCGAGTCAAGGATGAGACCAGTGTACGATGCATCCCTCTGAGGGCCTCCAGATTGACCAGGGACCCCGACTTCATGCCGCCAGAATGGTTAGTCGATCCCGGTAGGCAAAACGCGCTAAAATTGAATGCCCCTTCAGCACCTGACCGGAAAAGGCAAGATACCAGGTAAGAGGTCTTTTCAATGTTCAATGAAGCGGATTGGGAGGGAGGAATGGGAGGAATGGGAGGAACTGTGTGCACACAGTAGAGACTGCCGCACACATTGTAACTGACGCACCACGCTCAGCCGAAGTCATCGTTCCCACCTGTTTACGGCCCCTTTCAGCGATTACACTCTTCTGCTTTTAAGGCATCGTCAGGCCCATCTCGTTGACATTCCAAACGTGACTAAGAGTTGGGTTATGCTTATCCGTCACAGCTTACAGCGCCGGGAAGAATGTGTTAACGTTATGCTTGTTTAAGTCCGTGGCTCCCGCCAAGCTTGTAGCCTCATGTATGTGGATTGCAAGAGGGGAAGGACGTCGCAGAAAAGCGCTGAGCCCGGTCGGGGTCTGTGTATTGTTCTCTTTCCCACGATGCGGGCATCTTTAGGTTACACTCCTTTGCATATATTCATGCAAGTAAACGTGCGTCCTTGGTTTTGAGTCCAAAACATATAGTGGCCGCTTCTTTGAGGTACGTTTCCAGCTGCACTTTTTATTCCTCACGAAAAGCGAGGTGCTTGGCATATGCGATGGATCGTTCCATTCCATCTCTCTTGAACTGTTTCACGCATCGAGCAGGAGTATTTCGATAAATCCCATATTTTTCTCTCGCAGACCGGACGCGTCTGTTGTGGATGATTTCAGCTTTAGCTCGTCGCATGCGTTGGCAGGGGTTAAACCCCTTTTGCTCTTTCGTTTGCGAAAGAACAAAATGTTGTTTTTCTTTCTGGCGTACTTCTGGCGTCTTTTAGTATTGGCGCCCAATATTGATTTTGTTTGTTTGTTTAGAAACTGGCTCAATGCGATATATGCTTCAAAGAGAGGCTTTGAATATGACTGACAGCGAGTTTTCATTGGATCAATCTCGCGGGGGAGTTGGGCGTCGTCGAGGGCGACCCGGGTAAGCTGAACCATGAACTATATAAACTATGAACTATGCATGTTCAAAGTTCAAACAAGGTCACTGACTTAAACCGAGCGTGTGACATTTTTCTAAGAACAGTTGTCTAGGTTCTAGGGGCCCTTTGGAGACCAATCTGCAATTTGACTTTGTTTGACCTTATTTGACCCGAAGGTGATAACCTAAGAACCTCAAACTTTGCCTTAAGAGAGTTCACGTACAGGTCAACTCACTCTGTTAATTTGGTGTCTCTAACTCTCTTAGTTCCTGAGATCTCTGCGGGGTCAAATTGACACCACCCCCACCCGAGCGAAGAGCATCCAACCGGCCACCCGGGCGCGTGTTAATATGTTACACCGACCTCCATATATACCAGACACGTTTCCTACCAAGCCACCTTAGACCTCGCCCGACCTCTGTAATAAGGCGACCTTGGCGGAAGCGCATGCGGATGGGAACGGGAGGGGATTGGTGTGGTGCAGGGCACTGCTAACTTCAATAAGTAAAAAATAGCAATGAGGCGAATACGCGTCTTGAACAAGTTATTACGAGAGTCTTTAACGTCAAGGAGCTGTAAGTATGACGATGATGCGTCGCTGGCATGTGCTGCCCCGCGTGTCGGATCTTGTTCAGGCTCGTGACGTCAGCGCGTTATCAAACGATGCGATGGTGGCCGGTTCCTGTGTCTGATTTGAATCCGTCAAGTGTGTTTCGGCGCGGGGGGAGCAACGTTTGTGGACAAGAGTCAGTTGCGGCACCTTTCGACGCCCATTGTGGAACTAATGTGAGTTGGTGGGATGCAGGGTATTGTTTGGATGAGTGTGGCACAAAAATATATCATGATTGATCATCTTTGCTCTTGTTTAAAATGGAATTTGTTCCCCCAATGTCTTGGGGGTTGGGTTAGTGTTGAGTGACTTAACTCAGTGAATGACCGAGAAGTGTTCACAGCAAGTGCTGATGGTATGACAGCTTTCCCAACTATACCATGTGCCAAACTGCAATTAAGTGTGCACTGGCCAGTATGATGCTGATGTTGGACATAGCACTGACAATTTCAGTGCATGTGCATTAAATCAGAGTATGCAGAGCTCAGGCCAAGTTAACCATAACTAGCTGCAAAGTGGTCCAATATTTTAAGTCATTGTTTTTCTAAGATCATTTCAGGCAGACATACCAGAATATTTTGTTATGTAAGAATATTTTGTGAATTCAGACCCATGTGGTCTGCCTGAGTTTGGAGCTCAAATGCATGAGGTTCAGCATACCACTGTCCTGTATGGGTCCTGTGCAGTGCATGAATTTTCTGCAGACTTGTGTGCAAACCTGACAGCAACAGCTGTGTGTAGCTGTCTGTCAAGGCATTATTCCTGTTAAGGTTCTTGTGAGGCATAATGGGTGGTTTATCTCCTTTGATTACTGTGAGCAAAATTCATTTTTGTTTGCTTGTCTTGCTTTATTGGTTTTTTGTCATGTCAAAGTTTGTTTTTCTGAGGCTTCCTTGCTCTTATATGTGTTGTGCTTCAGAGAATGGATCACAAAATAAGTTCTGCATGCTTCTACATATTGTCACTCAGACTCTTTGTAAGGTATGCTAGGGTCTATTGCCTGTTGAAGATAAAGGAGATAATTTCATGTTATGGAGTTACTTAGGTACTTGTTCATTAACAATTACTTGGTTTTCAGCCTTAACTCAGCAAATTGCTTCTGTGCTGGGTGGTCTCAACATGTCAGGGAGCAAGAAGATTACTGTTTGTGTTGAAGGGAACATTGGAAGTGGCAAGACATCACTTCTGGACCACTTTGCTCAGTTTCCAGAAGTGTCAACATTGGCTGAACCTGTGGACAAATGGAGGAATATGAATGGCAATAACTTACTGGTCAGTAAAATAAGTAAGGCATATTTTCAAGTCCTTATTTAAGTGAAGTTTTATCATCACACAATGCCATGTATTTACTTTTCCCAGGCAATTAAATGTGTAGTTTGTACCATATATCCAAGGACATCCTCAGGACCATACAGGGTTTAAGGGGGGGGGGGGGAATGGTGGCAGAGCAACACACTTTCTAGATTCTCAACTCTGCTCTCAACATGCTTTCTTCTCAATAGCTGCTCAAATGATGGGATTATTGCTAGCTGTTGGGTCATATGAGGCCAGTAGGCCTGGACACATCAACCAGAGGCACTATGAAAATAGGAAGTTTGGAGAGTGGGCCACTATGGGGCAGGGGGGGGGGAACTGATCTAGAGGGTGGTACCCAAGGGCTCTTATTTGGCATGCTAAACAAGCTACACTACATAATTGCTCAGACACCAGGAGGAGTGGTAGCTCCATTGTCACCCACAGGCATTGCCCTTGTCCTAATATGCAGTGCATCTATGCATGGCCAAGCTAAAAGGTACAGTTACTTATAGTTGCTAATAGTTCTGCTGAAGTAGAAGGTATTGCTGGGTAGTTGTCATCCATGACAGAATTTCCATGCAACTTGAAACTCATGTGATTGCTCATTTCTTCTGTGATGTGAGATTCTGCTGTCCTTAATGGGATTGAAGCACTGCTCTTCCATTGCAGTCACCAAGCCCCATTTTGTCCACAGGACCTAATGTACTCAGACCCTGCTCGATGGAGCTGCCTGTTCCAGAGCTGTGTTCAGCTGACCATGCTCAACAACCACACCATTCCAGTCAAGGCCCCCATCAAGATGATGGAGCGGTCCTATCCACAGTGGCAGGTGGGGATGATACTGCAGTTCACCAAGCTCATAGATGGGTGGGATTAGGGGACAGTCCTACTTCAAGGGGTTTTTGACACCAGCCCTCCCAGAAGCCCCTGAAGAAGCAGAGGCATAAACTCCCACATTTGGCTGGTCTCCCTGATGGCCCAACAATGCTTGTTAGTCTTGTTTTCTGCCAACACATTTGTTTGTGCCATAGTAAATATTACAGCTGTTGACATTTTTGCTTTGTGTGCCTGATGTGTGAAACCCAGTAATTCTTCAGAGGAGTCACAGACCTGTGTATCAGCCCATGTTGGAGCTATAACGCGCCCGGGTGGTCGGCTGGATACCCTTTGCTTGGGTGGGGAGGTCAATCTGACCCCCCCTGAGATATTGGGAACTAAGAAAGCTAGAAACACCAAGTTTATGGGGTTCTTGACCTTATGTTAACTCACTGAGGTCAAAGTTTGAGCTTAGGTCATGACCTTCAAGTCAAATAAGGTCAAACAATGTCAAATTCCAGGTTGGTCTCCAAAGTGCCCCCAGAACCCAGGCAACTGTTTCTAAGCAAAAGGTCAAAAGCTCATTTGGGGTCATTGATCTTGTTTGACCTTTTGAAGGTCACAGTGACCAAAATCATACAAGACCGCTCAGAGTTTTGCATGTGAATAAGCGACAAAGATAACACTAGGCAGTATGTTCCTAAAACAAAATGTTGACCTGGGTCATCTTAGGTCAGTGACCTTTTATGACCTCTAAGAGGTCAATGGAAGATGTATCATGCGGTTCCTGTTGTCAATAAATTCGAAATGAGTGCCACAAACTATTCCATACCGCAAGCTCTAGAGTAATAAATCAGGTTGGTTGTGACCTTGGTATGACCTTTATACCTGACCTTAGGACAACGCAATTTGCTTATTCAATATTTGTGGTGGCTAAGAAAGCATTGCAGAGTTGTATGGCTCTGTCAAACACTCTGTTGTATCAGATTGGACGACTCCTTAGAAATTGCCCTCGCTGAAACCATGGCCTGACTTTAACCTGCCATAGGTCAGCGATCTTAGAAGGTACGTCTAAATTTTTGATGTCAAACGATCTGCTATTCAATTTTCTACTGCTATCCGAAGTTTAGCGCGGCTGCGCCGTACTGTGCGGATATCGTTCTGGAAAAACCTTCGGGGGGTCAGTTTGCCCCCCCCCCCCCTCCGAGCGCGTGCTAAGGTACCACATTGTAAGAGATGAATAAAAATGTTTGCTTTTTTAGGCAATACGTTTCAAGAAGAGGTGCTTAACATGAAAATAGTCCAGGGTACATTTGGTGCCAATTTTCAGGTCATCACACCTACTGGCTCACTGGGCAGCTGACTAACTTGGCCACCACTGAACCACTTCGGGTGACATTTGTGTCCAGGCATGATCGGCCCACTGACTGGCATCATGCTCGGCCTGGCAGGTACTGCTTCGTGGAGAACCTGTACCAGAATGGCCTGATGTCTGCTCCTGAGTATGCTGTGCTTGACCAGTGGTTCCAGTGGATCACTACTAACGTGGATGTCAAACCGGACCTCATTGGTGAGTAACGCTACCAACTTATGGACGAACGCGTGCATCGGCCAGCTGTGGGGTCCTCAGGATATCAGGACATCAGGCGATCCTCAGCACCAAGCCCGTTATCTGGCTCTGAGTGCTGCGCGGTGTCAGGAACTTCGTGCTTCATTGTTTGGATTCGTGGTGTGGAAATAAGTGAACCTTCCTATGTGGAGTGATACAACATTTTGAGTGGCTTATTCAAAGGGGCTGCCATTTAAGCAGTAAGTACACAAATTTTGTACAAAGCTGGTAGAGTTGAATTTGTTTAACAATAGTATGTATGCAAAACTTCATATGCAGATATGTACTGAACATTGGAATGCAGATATTCATTCTTGGTGTCGGGTATCAGGTGAGTGGCCACTGCAAGGGCCACCTCATTCCTTTCGACTGAGGAGCAAACGTGGTCAAAGAGGATGGTGACGGTTGCATTTGTAATTGCATTGGTTTGGTCAGGTAGTATGATTAACTTAACTCTTCAAGGCATGAACTTTACGCTCTGAGACGATCACCAATTGAACTCAAATCAGTTTGTGTTGTGCAAGATGATCCTGGAATGGAAAGAACTGAAGGTTAAAAAGATGTCCTCCCCGACCACCTGCCGAGTTTGTCGTGCTACCAGTTATCCCTCGCTCTGATGTCCCCCACGACAACGTCGCCTGACGCCCCCTGAACGCGCCAGCTGATGGACGCGGCGGGTCAACTTGCTTGCGGCATAGGACGGGCAGACGCGCCAGCGATGCCCGTGACACCCGGTTGCTTATATTAAGTAAATCGGTCCTGGTACAGTGGAGTATTCGGCATCGTGCACGAATCGCACATAAGGATGACTCAGTATGAAAATAATAAGAAGCCACTGGCACCACTTCACGCAGGCCACTTACCCCATGTCAGCGAGTTCATATATGTTCCCATGGCAGCCTTCACGGGGAGTATTTGTGCTAAACACCCACAAGAGGTGACTTGATGACATGCAGAGCACTCATGTACCAATGTCTTATATTTTGTGCCATTGGTTGTTTGTGCTTGAGGTGACGTAAGATGACAATGGTGCCGGTGGGCCGGCGGCAGTGTACCTGCGCAGCTCGCCGGAGGTGGTGGCTGAGAGGATCCGGCGGCGAGCTCGCGACGAGGAACGCGCCATCCCTGACTCGTACCTGCGCGCGCTGCATGAGCTGCACGAGGACTGGCTGGTGCGGCGCTGCCGGTTCTCGCTGCCCTGCTCTGTCCTGGTGCTGGACGCCGACAAGGACCTGCAGATGCTGTGAGTGGACAGTAGGATGCTGTGCTTCGGCAGGGTTTGGTGTAGCAGTGGGTTTCTATGGGTTTCTATTCAGTCATGGAGCTGACTGGTGGTGCAGGTTGATATTTCAGTGCTGCTTGTGGTCTTGAACTGCTTCAGTCACGCTTGTTTTAGTCCCCTATAATTTCAGTTATATGCTTGACAACATCATGTTAAGTAAATCCAAACACCGCTGGTACCTCTTGGTCTTCCGAATGGGTGGCAATACAGTTTTTGTGGCTGTAGTCAGCTGGCATGGGAGGCCATGTTACAAATCCTGAGTGATTCGAGCCCGGGATTTGACTTGTTTCAGGAAGGAGGAGTTCAACAGCCGAAAGCACGAGATCCTATGCTGCAGCGCAGTGAAGAGTCCGGTCAAGGGCCCGAGGTCGCCAACACCTGCTGCTGCCATCTGATGGCTGACCTGAGGAGCACTGTCTGACACCTGATGTGTAGTGGAACTGCGTTGTGCTATCTATACATGTTGTTCTGGCGACTTTTAGTTTGTCTTGTTCCTGCTTACTCGCTGATCTGTGCACTTTTACATTGTCTGTTTTAGATGCCCAAGGCCATTGTAATCTCATGAGGGGTTGTGATATAATTTCTGTGTATATCTATGCTTCCGCATATGTGCATGTGTGCGTGCTTCAACTAGTGATCCTCATGTTTATGTCGTTGAACATTAGAAACTCACTGTGAAGCATGTCTTCCAGATAGGGTTGGCCTCTGTTGACAGAGTTGCACTGGCACAAACAAGTGTTCTTGAAAGTCATGTCAGCACTGACCAAAGAGCATTTGTGTGCAAGTGACCACAGCATTCACATTCTGTAAATATATTTTATATCACATTGCCATTTTGATCAGCTGGACAAGCCAAGTAGTTATAACATTGGGATTGTAGGCATTCTACCCACATCCTAAGGTATGACAAAGATTGAGCAGTGGTTTAGACTTTGATAGACCCAGGATGTCTGTTGAACCATTTATTTTACGGCGTGCATCGCGAACAAGGGGGGGGGGATAGCTGCCGCTGCCGTAAAGTTGCTGGACTGACTAGATAAGTGCGCAAAATGATGCTTGAAACAGAGTTGCCCCCATCCGGAGGTGTCGGCGTGCACGTTGGTTGACTGCCGCGGCAGTGCATTCCAGGTGAAGCATATTCAACTCAGCGAATCTCGATGCGACATGGTAGGGACGTCTGGCCCAAAATCGGGTGGAGAGACAACTGCGGTGCAATTGCAGATGGTATAGGTGGTTTGTGGCTTGGTTAAAAAGGTTTGCGCGGTTTCCGTTACTGGTTGTCGGGACCAGGTATGTGCCCTGAGCGCAAGCGCGCTGCAATTGGGATAAATGGGGGGGGGGGGGGGGGCAGCAAATCACAGGATCTTCTCACCACAGAACTCTAGCGCACGGGATTAACTCTTGGGATTCAGCAACGTGTGTACGGTATACAATTTGGGTGGAACAGGCCATTATACGCTGGCACATCCAATATCCTCCCCCGAGGGACGCATGTCAGGAGTGAGCTTATCACGGTTGCCTGTACTGCCTTTCAGAATCCACTTACAGGGAAAAATGGAAATATGCCGGTCTGGGGGAGGCGTTTGGGGTTCCACCGGATTATTTGGCAGTTGGAAGCACTGACATGCGCTGCTCAATTGATGTGCCCACTGCCCAGCAGCCCGGGTCAGTTAACGTATATCCACCGTTTTGTCATTGTTCTGCTAATGCGCTGGTATCGCTGCTGTAATTCCAATTAGTTTAATATCAATCGCCTTTGATTCGTTGGGAGTGGGACAACCGTCCCTGACCGGCGAAAGCGCCGATGCAGCCCCGGCCCACCGTCCCCGTGCACGCACTAGGTATATCAGGCACCTATAATCGGCTTTGGAACCGCTAGTTTGTTTTACTTTTTCGAGATGTCTCTAGTGACTGGGGTTTACAGAGTTATAATGCCATCAACCCGCTCTTTTATTCAATGAAAAACAGATTATTCTATCAAAGAATTCGATTTCATGAAGGAACTGAACGAAATTTTGCTTTTTTTTAATTTAACTTAGTTTTAACAGCACGTAAAATTCCACGTTTTCTGGACTGTTGGCCGCGGCCTCCGAATGAACGCCACGCTGTCCAACATTCCCATCAGCTGACTGCGTTTTGGGTGACGTCGACAGGCGACCCGACGAAACCGTCGTGTTGTTTCTCCATGCAGTGCTTAATGCGGCGTTGCGGTGTGGTGCCCAGCTGCTGCTAGTCGTATTGCATCTGTTTGTAACGGTAAAGGGCGTCCTTTGGGAGCGGATCGACGTTTTCTTCATAAATCTTCAAACTTCAGACAGATGGTGAGTGTTGCGCAGTTCAAGTTTGTACTGCCCGAGTCAATGAAACTGAGTCCCGAGGTTCTGCAATAAGCATGCATTTTAGGAAGCCATTATGCACATTCTGAATGTCTAGAATACACTTCTTAGCATTGTGCTGTGATATTGTGTCCAACTTTATGTGTCTGTTTTGTTAATGCATTAATGTGTGGTGGTAAGTGGGTGTTTTGGTTCCACTTCATCTTTTCCAACACCCTTACCATTTTTAACACCTTTCACCTTTGCTTCCATGAGAACTTGCTGATGACCCTCTCGTGTAGATCTTGTGTGTACACAGGTCATGTGAGTCTGTATGGTATGTTAAAAATTTAATGCTGGGAAAAGGTATACACCTACTTGCCCACGTATTCAGCATTTGTGTCCCAGTCTGCTCTAAATGACCCAAAGTCTCACTGACTGTTCTTTGTCAACTGTTTGTCCCTGCCCCCCCCCCCCCCCTCTTAACCTTTGGTCTCCACTCATTCAGTAACTTGTACCCTTCCCAAACTTTTCCAAAGTCTGGAAAAACATTTTGGGGCATATTTTCTGATAGTTTCCATAATCTGCACTGCTCTCCCTCTGAACTCATCCAGTGAATCTATGCCCCTGCTTTTCCATTACTTCAAGCCACTGTGCTGGTTCTGAGCCACAATGTCATGTGGCCTGCTCAAGCATTGGAAGGGTTTTGTGCTTGCACAACATTTTTAGTCTCACTACTTGGATTTCATTAGTGGATCTCTGGCTCAGGGTGTGAGGTGAGAGACAAGGTCAGGGGTTATACAACTCCACACAGGGTCAGGAGGGTAGCATTTCAGCTTGGCAGGACATAAGACAATGAACACACAGTTGACACCAATTTAAAGCATTTGTTGACTGGCCCTGGCTTGTCTCTGTTGTCATTTTTGTCTGTTCTGCATTGCACATTGTGGTTGTGCTCAATCCGTGCCCCGGTTTGGTGTATTCCCAAGGTACCGTGAGCTGCTGACAGTAAATTAAGTTGTTCCATTTGTGGAATTCTTGCCTAAAAATTCCAAAGCTGTTCTAAATATCCTCCCTTGTCCTAGCCCTGGTGCAACGAGTTGTCAACACAGTCCGCCATGTTTCACAGACTTGAGTTGGCTTCATGACCACATAGTTAAAGGTCCCTGAAGCTGCCCCCCCCCCCTCCACAGACTTCAGCTGTCATGTCACATGTCAGAAAGCTGCAAGAGAGTGCTTAGGTATGCACATCTGTGGCAAATCATATTACCCTTGTCATAGCCAAGTCCCCTGGACCACTATGACATCAGTGTCATAGTTAAGCTGTTTTTAGCTTTCCTCTAGTTCTTGCCACCTACTGCATCACTATTGGGATCTTGTATCCTTTTTGAGAGCTGTACCTGTGCTTCAGTCAGGCATGAGGCTAGCTCTGGCTTTGCAAAGGCTCAGTTTTTATCAATGATGATGAGTTTGAATCCAACCTGGAGCTCTTTTCCCATGGCTGAATTCATCTTTGGTTCCAGTGGAATGTCATTTGAAACAGCTGGCTTCGCTATCAGCTTGCGCTTTGTGTCATTTTTAGATCAGGCGTGGGAATTTACTTTGCTCTGAAAAATTATTTTAACACATGCCTGGTTGGGGTGTCAATTTGCCCCTCCCCCTCCTTCCAGAATGCTTTCCGAATGGCTTGACATAGCTGCACCAAATTCTGCTTAGCTGTAGACAATGGAATAGCAGATTGTTTGGTATAGAAATTGATATGTGCCTTGCAAGGTCGCTGATCTACGGCAGGTCAAAGTCGGGCCGTGGATTTAGCAAAGTCGATTTCAAGGGAATTGTGCAGTCTGATGCAGCAACAGAGTGTTGGATGAAGCCATACATTTCTGAGATGCTTTCTTAAGTAACACAACAATGAAATGAACAAAGTTCATTGCCCTAGGGTCATGTATGAAGGTCAGGCCAAGGTCAAGACTGACCTGTTTTATTACTCTATGGCTTGCTATATGGGGTAGTTTCTGCTTCTCACTTTCATTTTTGGTAACAGAAGCCATGTTCCAAATGTTCTACAACTTTTTATAGGTCAGCATGGGTATTTGACCTAAAATGGCTCAGGTCAACATTTTGTTTTGGGAGCATACTACCTGGCATTGTCTTTGTTGCTTATTAAAATGCTAAACTTAAAACATTCTTGTATGATTCTGGTCACCATGACTTTCAAAAGGTCAAACAAGGCCACTGGCCTTAAATAAGCATGCAACCCTTCATTTAAACAGGTGTGTAGCATATGGGGGCACTTTGGATGGCAACCAGGAGTTTGATCTTGTTTGACGTTATTTGACCTGAAGGCTGGTATCTGGCAACCTCGCACTTTGGCCCAAGTGAGTTCATGTACAGGCGAACACACCCTGTGAATCTGGTGTCTAGCTCTCTTTGTTTTTTAGATCTCAGGGGTCAAATTGACCCCCTCCTGAGTGAAGTGTATCTAGCCAGCCACCCTGGCATGTGTTAATTTTGGCTGTGGTTTCAGCTTCATCCAGCCTTAAATGGAACAGTGGTCATTGCACTGTAGTTGTGACCATACAAAACACTCCAAAGTTTTCCAGATTTTTTGGGTGACATGTGGCCAAAAGCCCAAGACCAGCTGGCACTCTCAGCACTAGTGACACTTGATAACAGTCAGAGAATTGACCACAAAGTGCCATGCATGTACTGACTTAGGGCGAGAGACTTCAAACAATGCTGATGGCATTTTCTTGCCCCATTTAGTCTGACCAGATGCAAACATGGTTTTGGCTTTGCAAACCAACACTTTGCAAGGTTCGTCTCTGGTTTTGATGTGATCTTAAAGCAATGGGTTCGGCTTTAGCTGCACATTTTTTGTTCAAAGCTTCTGACTGACTTGGCTTCGTAATGCCAAATTTTGAAGCCCCTTCTCCGGATTCAACCTTGGTTTCATGTCGCTGTCTTGGCATCGGATTCGGCTTTGAGGGCACAAGCCTGGCTTCGTCACTGGTCCTTGCTTCAATAATTATCCACTAACAGTTGCTGCCTCCAGCAATAAAGCAGCTAGGGGGCCGTGAAAGATACCCCCATACAACTCTGTGGGAGTTTGCCCCGTGGGCAGCGTTTCAAAAGAACTAGTAAAAATGGCTACTGCTTCCCCCCCCCCCCCCCTTCATCTTCAACCTTGGGGAGCTTCCATTGCCCTGGCTGCCTCATTCAGCCATCATTTCACGCACCGTGCCACCCTGGTCGTGAGGCGGCCTCGGCTGTGACGTGTCCCATAGCGCGGCCGCTGACGCCGCCGTCCCGTGTTGACAGCCGGCTCCAGCCAGCGCGACTTCGGTGGGCGGCGGCGGCCGCTCGCCCAACAAGGGCATGTCGCGGCCGGCCGGCGGCGGCGGCACGGTACGTCAGCGCAAGCCGGCGGCCGGCGGCGGCGGCACCGCCAAGCGCACCACCGGCGCCGGCAGCGGCGGTATGTGGCGCTTCTACACGGACGACTCGCCCGGCATCAAAGTGTGAGTGGCTCCTGGCGCGCCGGGCTCAGGCCGTTCTGGTCTCGCTTGCAGTCAGACGTGTCAACGCGCGCGTTATACATCATTGTGGTCGTCCGTTTTACCTGTTGCGGACATTGTCGTACAAAAATCACTGCCGCAGCGTCAGAAATATGACGGAGTGCAAGCACGAATGTGACGGAGCGCAAGCACGACACTTTCATCGAGCTCGGCATCACTGCGCTGTTGACGGCCATGACGTCTTACAAATTGTCCATCGGCTTGGGCCCATTTTGCGGTTTACCTCTGCTGCATCTCATCCCTGCTGACTATTATCTGTTTGCGTCTCTTCAGTTGAGTAGTATCCATTTTTTTCGGACAGGCCGTACACCACGGTTGTGGTGTACGGCTTGTGGCTGTGGCTATGTAGGGTGTCATGTGCAATACGGTGCAGTCACCTCAGCTAATGTTTATGTGCACCCGCGGACATGCGTTACTGATGACGACCGTGACACGACCGACGTGCACCGTGACGCGTGCCGCTGTCGATTGCGCGACGGCCTGTTTGTCGCACAGTTCCACTGGCGCGGCACTGGTGCATCGCTACTCTGACCGGCTGTTTGTGACGATTGGCCGCCGCCCAGCGCCTGCAGCCTGCGACAGACTGCCCGCGGTCCCAGCCGCCCGGCGCCGAGTCAGTGGCGCTGCGTGACGGTTCGTGACGGTTTGTGTGACGCTTTCAGCGGCCCGGTGCCGGTGCTGGTGATGAGCCTGCTCTTCATCGCGTCCGTCTTCATGCTGCACATCTGGGGCAAATACACGCGCGGCTGAGGGCGCGCGCCGCTGATCAGGGCGGCCGCGCGCGGAGCCGGCCACACCCTATTTATTGCTCCGCGACACACAGCTGTTCATTCCCGGCCGGAGGATGCCGGCGCCGCCGTTTTTACCGAATGTCGTTATGTGTTTGTACTGTAATGGGGAGCCACGCGCGGACGGGGCACGTGGACACCACGTGTTGTGTAATAAAACGGACCACGTGGACATGTGGGGTGTGATGGACGTTTTGGTGGACGGTGGAACAAGGAAGACTAGCGCTGCTATCGCTGTTGTCATATACAGCAATTCATGTAAAAGCACTTCAAATGAGAGAAAATATCAGTATTAAACATGGCGCACTGAAACAACACAGTATATGTATATATATATATATATATATATATATATATATATATATATATATATATGCTTACCAGACGAAAAACTTACCAAACCAAGGATCTAGACAAGTCTTTTGTCCCAAAGTATTGCTGTAAATAGTAAGCATCTTATGTGATTCTTCCAAAGTTGCTCAGTGAGCGTGCGCAGTCTCACAAAATAAGTTTGGAGCTGTCCAGAGAAAAATGTTACCCCAAAAATGCAATTAAACGTGCCAAAGACGGCCACCTACGCATGCTCCACCACGATCACGCTACTCACGCTCCACCAGCCAACTAGTTTTAAAAATGTATTTGTGCCCTCCACCTTCCGACTCCCCAACAACACATTAGGCCGTGCACGTCCCAGTCGAATAAAAGACACGCGGCACTCCCAGCTGATTTACCGAGCCAGCGCAAGTACAACGCCTGACAGACCAGCGCAGGCCGGCGAGAAGGGATTGGAGTCAGGCACTCTGCTGACGGAAAGTACAACGTATTAATGGATTTTGGTGCGCTTAAACCGATATAATTGCAAAATATGATGGTTTATGCTGCAATTCATTGATGTTTTTGTCTTAATAAACATTTTTCCTTAATTTGCCAGGCCAAAGTTATGGGTTCATGTTACTCTGGTGCCCTGGCGTCTGCCGGAGCGTGATGGCTATCTCCGAACAGGTTTTTGGCTATTAATGGCAACGCTTTTCGACTTAAATGGACTTTTTGTAAAGCCTGAATCACCAACTTTTATTTCACACCCTTAAATGACAGATTTAACTTGGTTTAAATCCCCAGCTGCCTTTACATTTTTGTACTCCGAATACCAGGAAGTGGCCACCACAGGACGGTTCTGGATAAGTACAAATAAGTTCTTCAAAATCGTGATGTCCATCTATATACAGCTTGCCTCCAAATGGTTGCAAATCTGTTCAAGACATGAGCGCGGGCAGAATATTTATGCTCTTGACAAATCAGCACGAGGGGACGACTCATTAAAACCAATTGGAGAGGTTTGCTATGCTTAACCTCCAACCTGAGCTGGGAGGCGGGTGCAAGCCACTGAATAGTTGAGACTTCTAACGCTGAATTACGAGTGAGTCTGTTTTTGCATTGCCATGACAATGGTGGCGCGTGGGTAGGTGGCTCTCCTAGGTGGCCTAGGTGTGGTAGGTGCTTGGGTATGCGGTTTTCTATGACTGTTCGTTGCATCCTTGGCAATATATAAATATATATTGCCAATTGCCAAGGATGCAACGAACAGTCAGAAAACCGCATACCCAAGCACCTACCACAGAGCTACCTACCCACGCGCCACCACTGTCATGGCAATGCAAAAACAGACTAACCCGCAAATCAGCGTCAGAAGTATATATATATATATATATATATATATATATATATATATATATATATATATATATATATATATATATATGTGTGGTGTGTGGTGTGTGTGTGTGTGTGTGTGTGTGTGTGTGTGTGTGTGTGTGTGTGTATCAATGGTATGTTAAGTCATATTCAAGTTTGAGTTGATATACATACGCATAGGGCACAGGAAGTGGGAGCTATGCTGATCTACAGACCGGTACGATTCTGCTACTAGTTGCTCAGTTCCCGGTACTGTTCAAAGGCGATTCCATTCAACATTCGCACACTTTCTGGTTTCATTTTGTCACGAAACGAAGAGGCAAAATGAGTTTTGCCAACAACACTTTTCGTTCCATCATGATGGGGTACAAAATATTTTATTTTAGCCAGTCGCAATCCTGGAGTACAAAATCTCCTGGCGTACATTATAATAGGAAACGTCAATTTTTCAACACTGATCGCTATATAATCTGGGTCTCGCTAGGGGTGGACGAACGGGGCAGGACGAATGCAACATCGGTTTTTAACTGTATTTTTCCGGGTAGTTTGCAAGGGTGGCTTTCGGTTCTCGCCTCCTGCCAAGGAAATATGATTGCGCGCATCCTGCACTCACCACCCCAGTTGCGCCGTCCATCCGTACGGGCGCTGTTAACCTCCGCCACGTTACCAGACAGCACCGAGGAGGATTCACGTATTGCCCAACGCTGCAGCTGGCCGGGCCTGAGCTGACCCCGATTCACCAGCCACTCTTCCAATGTCATCTGGGCCGGCCGATGCCCCCGCCGGAGCACACGCGCCCGGGACGTCTGGATAACCAGGCTAGCTTTACATGCCGACCCGCGTGGCAGCGAGTGGTGAGTGGATAGTGTTTCACACCAGACCTGCATGCGTGATTTGCTGCCGGCAGGAAGTCTCTGCCAACTGTCTCTATCTCGATTATTACCAGCGGAGGCAACAGATCAGGCCATCGGCGTCGATATTCGCCATTGTTCTGCAATTTGCTCGTAATCATTGACCGAAGGTAGGTCATCGGTGGATCGCCCCCATAGCTCAGTTGGTTAGCGCGTCTGCGTTCCGATCCGCCTATCTATGGCGGGGTGGGTTCGAATCGCATTTGGCGCTCGGTATGTGCCCTTAGAATATGGCCTGCGGCCGGTGGCGGGGATCGCACTAAAGACCAGATGAGGTCATAGGACAATTTGACAGTCTGTGGCGAGCACTGTGCACGGCCAACTTTCGCCTTCTACTCTGATGTTTACCTGGAATTGATGGAATGTTAGCGGCCAGAGCTCATACAAGGAGCACTTCTAAGCGCGGGCTCCGATCCCAGACAAACATCCATTCAAAAGGTCAAGATGAAATTTGTGACAGCATTTAAAAAAGCTGCAGCGGTTTCAGGAGGCTCAATAGCGAGTGACAACGCCGGCCAAATTACTCACACGTTTGCAGATGGCAGAGAGGGACTAACTAGCAACTGAACTGAGTAGCTTGATCACTAGTGGATGCTTACGCAGAATGTAGTGCGCTCCATTCTTTGTTGACTTGCATCTTATTCACCACCCTCTTGTAAATGCTTACATTGGCGTGATTAACCGACCAAATAGATATGAACTACCGATGTCCCTGACTGTGCACAGTGATGGATGCACCATTGACATGGCTGGGCTATACGGAGTCATAAAATTAACAAACCGATTATTACGACCATATTTGAAAGCTAGATAGTTCCGCTACACTGAAACAGATTGAAGAATCGAGTGTCCACTCAGGAAGCTCCAGGTGCGTGGTGTGAGCCGCATGAGGTCTGCTGTGAGCTTCTGGCTGCCGGAGCCAGGTCGGATTGGGAGCTAGTCAGGACGACGGAAACGGAAGCGAGCCAGACTTTAAATTGGTTAGAAATGTGTCGGGTTGCCGCCAGGGCACCAAATCCATGAACATCTCCAAACCGAACAATCGGAACGAGGCGAATACAAGCGCGTACCCAGTCCAGTGTATTCCACGGACCACACGCGGCGATAGCGCAGAGTAAATCATGAGTAGCATACCAGTGGACCGGCCCACAGTCACCGGAGGTCCTCGGTCTGAAGCTTGAATGGCGCCGTCGCGAGCCCTTTAAACGCGCCGCTCAGCAGAAGCACCCGTGCACATCGAGATTACTAAGGAGCGTGGTGATAACGTAGATTGTCCGGTTGTTGGCGGCTGGGCATTTACAGGCCACCGCCCGCCGCTGGGTACGCTTGAGCCACGTTGGACCTCAGTTCTCGGCCACACACTGCTCGGCCGGCAGCTGGGTCGGCTGGATGGCGGGCTCCGGCATCGGCGAGAGCGGACCGACGGCCGCACGGACCGCCTCACTGCCAGGACGCGGATCATTAGGGGCCAGACACGGGTCATCATAGGTCAGACACGGGCCATCAGAGGTCATACACGGGTCACCATAGGTCCACACGGGTTACGGTCCAGTCACCATACGTCGGACACCGGTCACCAGGAGTCCAACACAGGTCACCAGGGATCCAACAAAGGTCACCAGGGTCCAACACAGGTCTGAAGAGATCCGACACGAGGCATCAGAGGGTCAGAAGGGTCACCAGAAGTCAGATACAGGTCACCACAGGGTCGAATGCAGGCCGTCAGAAGACAGACGACGAGTCGTCGGGGTCAGACATAGGTCATCAGGTGTCAGGCATAGGACATCAGGCGTCAAGGATAGGTCAGCAGGGGTCGGGAACGAGATTGGGCCAACGGTCGCAATAACTACGTCACTGTCCACGCAGAACGTCAGGAGGTGAAACAACCAAGGCACAACCAAGAAGAACCACCCCATCTATCTGCTCCAAACTTTACTTAGCTGCAACAATCGCCTATGATTTGAAATAGGCATTAGTCCATCATTGATGTCGCAAGTGGGAAAGCCCTAAGCTAGTGACATAAAACCCAACTGGTCCAAGAAGGGAAAAGTAGCTTATATTCATGGGGCCACCAGCAAGCTTTCGCGCGAGAGTTGCTAAGCTGATTTTTTCCCGCAGCTTTCTAACTCATTCCAGCTCCACCTGCATCATGAAATGAACCATTGTTTACTAGCCAGAGGTTACAATTTTCGACGCTGCAAACACGCCGGAACAGGTAGCCACATTCACTCATGCCATGGTTGGCTGCCGACAGCCCTGGTCGGGGTCACGCAGAGCCAGTCACTAAGGAATACACAGCGAGCACGGCATGTTCCCCGCTGCGAAAGCGCCCTCTATACTGATCATGAGATCGAGCACGAGCATGGTTGGCAGTGGACGTCGCCCCACACAGATGATGTGGGGCACACCATGACCAGGACAGTGTTCTGAGGCGCCGCAGGACACCTCAGGCGCGCAGACTTCACGCAGAGGCAGTGACGGCGGGTTCACGGACTACCGGGAGCCCGTGCAGGGGCTTTAGCCATTCAAATTCATCGCGGTTTGTTTTGGACGATGCCGTGAATGTACCGCTTCGAACCCGACGAGGCTTACGCTCCAGACATCACAGCAGGTGGTGTTACCGACGGTGTCGCAATGACGCGGCGACCCAGAGTGGTGCCGTGATGACGCAGCAGACCTCCCTGAGGGGGCCCCGTGATGACGCAGCAGACCCACCTGAGCGGTGCGTGATAGACGCAGCAGACCCACCTGAGCGGCGCCGTGATGACACAGCAGACCCATCTGAGCGGTGCCGTGATGACGCAGCAGACCCACCTGAGCTGGCATCGTGATGACCAGCAGACCCACCTGAGCGACGTCGCGATGACGCAGCAGACCCCATCCTGAGGGGTGCCGTGATGACGCAGCAGACCCACCTGAGCGGGTGCGCGTGATGACACAGCAGACCCACCTGAGCGAACGCCGTGATGACGCAGCAGACCCACCTGATGCGGTGCCGTGATGACGCAGCAGACCCACCTGAGGCGCATCGTGATGACACAGCAGACCCACCTGAGCGACGTCGTGATGATGCAGCAGACCCACCTGAGCGGTGCCGTGATGACGCAGCAGACCCACCTGAGCGGCGACGTGATGACACAGCAGACCTATCTGAGCGGTGCCGTGATGACGCAGCAGACCCAGCTGAGCGTTTTGGTGATGACGCAGCAGACCCACCTGAGCGGTGCCGTGATGACGCAACAGACGCTGGCGCGCGGGAAGCCGTTGAATGTGCCGGCGGCCGACAGGGTGTAGGCACCCATGTTGTCCCAGACGAGCCAGTGGCCGGGCTGGAGCGGCGGCAGCAGCTGGCCCTCGCAGAGTTGGTCCATTGAGTCGCAGGTGGGGCCCCAGATCGTGGCCGGCGGACCTGACGGCGGCGCGTCATCCTGCCGCCCGCGCCAGCCAGGTCACGCGCCGCTCGCGAACGCCGCAGCGCGCCGCACCAACAACGCCAACAAACACGCCGGCCAGATGAGTGCACGCGTACATGCCTGACCGATGCTTATAGGCCACGCAGGTCGCTGCTTTCCGGTCCTGTGGCTGGCGCAAGTCAGCGACACGCTTGAAATTCACCATAAACAAAATATTCAAATTCGTCGGCCATCGTGCGACCCCCGTTCCACAGACACGTACGCAGACGCGCTGAATAACAGGAGCATGAGGAGAGACAATACTAGAATCCATCCTCAAGCACAGTACTTCGGACCCGTGCACTCCGCAAAAATTCACGTCATGCTGACCACGGGTCGCTCCGCTCACGTCACGCCCGAAGCAGACGAAACACCCCCATCGCACACGTATAGAATTCCAGTCTTACACAACACGCGAGAGGTGTCACTTGGTGCTGGGAGGGGCGGCAGTTTTGTGGGTCATGTCCGAGCAGCGTCCCGGCGGCAAGTACGGGAGGAAGTCCACTTCACGACAGGGCCCTTAGACCACCTTCCCCTTCCCCATACCACCACATATATACGTTCCCCCTATATCCCCTTCCCTCCTCTCTCCTCCCTCCCCTCGTCCCTATCCGACGCGACTGTACCTGCAGCGGGCGCGGACGGCACACTTGGTGGTCGTACAGGACGCAGTTGAAGGCGCCGTACACGCCGTCGTTGACGTAGTAGTCGACGGCGTCCGACCGGCGTCGCACCGACGTCACCTGCGTGGCCAGCGTGAAGGCCGAAGCCCCATGTAGCGGCCGGGCTCGGCAATGACGCGCACGCCGCAGCGGCCGGGAAGCAGGCGTCGAGCGCGCCGCCGAGTGGGCGCGCCCGCCTCGTCCAGCGTCTGGCCGCGTCGCCGGCGAACCCGCCGCCCAGGTCCAGCAGCGTCAATCGCGCCAGGCCCAGTCGGCCGCCTGGTCGAAGACGACCGCCGCCGCGCGGATGCGCCCGGTCGTAGACGGCGAACTCGCGGCAAGCCGGACCGACGGTGAAGCTGACGCCGACCACGTCGCTGAGAGTGGAGCGCCACGGCCACTTGAGCAGGCTCGGGCGCTCGGCCGGCGGG